ACCTTCAAAAATGTAGGGGCTCTGATGTAGTAATAATCACTGGTGACTTCAATGCTCATGTAGGTTGACTAAGTGAAACCGAAAGACTTGGCTGAACCTGATGGAGTTGCGACTCAGAACAAATAATAACAACCGTCTGCTGCAACTGTGCCCAAACAACCGACTATTTCTAGCAAGTACAAACTTTAAGCATCAGGAAATACATCTCTTGACCTAGCGAATCTCAAAGCCGACTCAACTTGACCACATTGCTATCAGCAATCGGAGAGGCTCTATTGAAGACTGTCGCTCGCTTCGGAGCACCTGTTTAGATTCAGACCATGCTTTATTGCAAGCGCGTATTTTTTGCGTCTTACTGAACGTGGGAAAGAGGTGGCAAAGAAACCTCTTATGGTTCTACGGTTAGGCGACCATGTAGAAGATCCCCATCCTGTGGCGGCTTGGAACGATATTAAAAAAGCCGCAGAGACAGCAGTGATATCTGCTAGTAAGGTAAACCATAAAGTTGGGGAGAAACAGTGGATTTCAGTAGCATCTGCCGAACTGGCAGATGACCAAAAACTCATCCCACTCTGCTCTGAGTATACGATAAAGAGCGGAGACAACTTAGGCACAGACTGATAAAAAGCTTACGAAATGATTGCGAACAGTAGTGGGTAGCCAAAGCAAGGGAGATGGAAAAGGCAACACTTGACAACTGTTCAAAATTATCAAGGAGAATGGTGTGCTGAATCCGACTGTGAGACTATCTCAGAATAGGATGGACTTATTTTTATTTCTCAATCCAGGAGATGGGATCGATGGGCAGAACACTTTTGGCACCAGTTCGATTGGCCTTCAGCCACACTGTGGTTACCCACGATCTCCGGTCAACCTGAATGGCAAATCGACGTAAGTCCTCCAACTCTGAATGAAGTTGAAAAGACTTTACGAAATCTAAGCCAAGGGAGAGCAGCGGGCCCTGATAGGCTAACTCCTGAGATTTTTAAGGATAGTGGTCCAGTTTTAGCGGTTCGATTGGCTGAGGTCGGCTGGCTTTTGCCGACTTGTGTCACCTATGGCGTAAGCGCGATACCCGTCTGCTAACTAAATGAAGAGTCTGCTGCGCAGCAGTTCGCTCAGTCCTACTTTGTAATTGTGAAACATGGCCATTGAGAGTAGAGGATATTCGTAGGCCATCAGTATTCCAACTTCCGTGTCTTCGATGCATTGCTCGTATATCCTGGGACAATCGAGTAAGCAATGCAGTTGTTAGGAAACGAGTTCTAGATAAGGATGGAAATCAGTTGATGAAGTGATGAATCTTCATCAGGTGAGACGGTTCGGACATGTGTTGCGTATGCTCCACCACCGACTGCCTCGACGAGCAATGTATTGTGATGTAGGAATAGGTTGGAATAAAGATAGGGGCGGCCAGATCAAAACATGGCACAAATCCATTAATTCACTGACAACTGGGTTCAGCCGTGTTGGTAGGCGTAGACTACCCGATCGAGGTCCATGAGATGATAGTAACCGATGATTAGAGACCTTGAATGACACGGTTCAAAATCGTTTGCAATGGCGCAGATACATCCACTCTTTGTGCTCTATCAAATACTAATCTAAACTACTCGTGACCACAATCTTTTTCGCCTCAAATCTATTTCACTAGATTATACTTCTTGAATAATATCTTCGGATCGTGATTTTTCCTATCACTGCTCATATTTCTACTACCTCTGTGGGAATTCGTTTGATAGTTACGTCTCTGTGCCAAGGCGATACGGCAACTTGAACTGATGTACGTGCGTAGGATGTACTACGTTGCAACTGACTGACTGACATTCCTCCAGGTGACGTGTCTACACAACCATTAACAACCTCCATTCGAGCAGTTCCCAGAGTCTTACTGATCACAACCACTCCTAAACCCAATGATTGAATGGAATAGTAGAGAAGGGTAGTTGTATGCCCTCACCGTCTACAGTGTTTGTGTACATAGCCTTCAAGCTGTTAATAAGCTCCTCAGACACATCCTACAACAGACCTCCGGAGTGCAATCCAATCCAGGAAATCGAAGACGACGCGGATATCGAGAAATACAATGATTTTCTGACTGCAATGATTTCGCTGGTGCTCTGGCATTTGGTAGAGGGTGGGAATACGATAAATACATCCATGAGCAGAACGGAAGCAAACCTTCTCACAAACCAGTCTACAGGTTTTGAACAATCCACAAAGTATGATGGTCGTTAGCAGTTTAAACCCAATCCAAAGTGGAATAACCTCCGTTAGTTATTGCATGGATAATAGTCACGATTATCGTTTTATCCTAGAATGTCAGGAGAGTGACTAAGTCCCAAATCTTTCTTAGTTAGGTGACTGTTAATAATATGTTTATGATAGGCTCATACAGAGACTACACCATTTTCAAGATTCCCATTTCATTTTTACTTACACGATAAGTCAGAACTAATTGCATCCTCTACTAGATTATCGTCAGTCTATTACCACCGTTTTCGTAAGAATATACTAATGCATTATAAGAATCATTGCAAACCTGCAGGAGTCACTAGGTAGCTACACCCTAATCCGTACATAAAAAAGTATATTGAAACTATCGTATATTGGAAAATGTGGTTATTTACAAACAAAATCAAGCAAAAATGAGGCTAGTCTTAAGCACAATTAAAAGTGTTATCTTCTTTACTTAAAATGGACTTCAGTGTTTCAATTGAATATTCTGGACCTTCAGATCGTAGTCCTGTGACAGGATCAACAAGATTACCGACAGGAAATTCGACTTTTTTCAGTTTGTACATGGTATTGAATGCCACCGGTGGGTCAGTCTTTTCAATAAGCACGATATCTCCAATATTCACCACTAAACCTTGTGTATGAACCCAATACGTTGCTGTTTGATAAAAATACTATGCGCACATTTATAAGTAGGTAACAAGACAATAGAAAATTACCTTCATCAGGAAACGATTTAAGCAGAGCTTGTGCAAACGGACCTTTACAATATCTGGGAATGATGATGTTAGACTTTGTTGAAACGGTACTACTTGTCCAATTGCGTAGTCGAAAGGTACTTTGACTTTCTTCCCCGTTAGAATAGCACGTTGAGGAGAAGTTCCTTCAAGCTCTGGTTTATGATAAGGAAAATATTTCTGGATATGAGGTTCGAGGTTTCTGAATATTTTTTCGCCACGATGCTTCCAATATCGGACCATATTTGATCTATATAGTGTATAGAAATGGAAAAGACATTGAATAAATAGGCGTTCCAAAAATAACCATTCACCAAAAAGAGTATTGGTTGTCTAAATTTCAAAAGAAACCTATCCTCAGGTGAAGATTACTTTGTGCTTATTTGAGAATAATTATTGGGCACCGTTTACAGCATTTCAAGTTACTATCAAACAACAATTAGATGTTTATATTGAATTCTTGTAGTGAGTCCACTTTTACGAAGAATATGAGATTGGTTGAACAGAAACATTCATTAATACAACCCATTGTACCTGTGATTGTTTCAGTGAAATTTTTTATTCACACTTTCTGTAAAACAATTTGCCTATTGCACGAGAACTACTTAGTTTTGCCACTCTGTAACTTCATCCATATTCTCTGGCACGATTTCGGTATTCTTACGATACCGCCAAATCGCCAGCAAATATACTCCTTCATCTGGACTATCTCTTATTCCATGTTTTTGGTCTATGACAGGACAACTCGTTAAGACTAGAAAGCAATTGGTTTGTAGTGGTGTTCATAGTCAACCTCAACTAGGACCACTGCAACCTAATGGGGTATATGCGACGAGAACTAGATGTACTTACACGACTTTTTATGTACACCAGGAAATCCATGGTAAGTGGGCACTTTCGATTTTTAAGCAGTTGAACGGTTTCTTTACGTCGAGGTAAAAATATTCAATTGGTGCAAAAATTAGTCACCAGTGGATATAGGGGATTTATCTTTCTTTTGTGGGGTTATGTTATTATCGTTCCCTTTGATACGTCTAACCACTGCTAGGCTTTATTCAGAATACAATATGGGTTAATCTACCAACAAGTCCCCTAATGACATCTTGAAATTAACCATTCACATCTCACAGCACAGCGTCCATAAAGCAATAAACCAGGGACAGGGCTTCTTCGTTCGTCACTCCTCACTACTAACATGTCTCCGCACCTGATGGCTGTAAACCCCAGAAACCTAGTAATCCTGATTAGGGAGCTTCAGGTTTGCTATAGCACGAAGACTGATCTTTCCAACCAAATTAATATTTAGAGCCAACTCGGATAAGTTCGACAGCAACAGGAAGGCCATTATAAGCTCACGTTAATGTCGATTGATCTTGGTTATCAACTCACGGTACGATACGGGAAGTTCATGGTCTCGTCAATGGACTACATTATGCGAGCGAAAAATCTGAAGCGAACATTCCCAACAAAATTGGCCAACTCTGTTTTAACAGTGTGTTTGTTCTTATTTCTCCTTAAAACGTACGCATGATCACACTTTGTAATTAACTATATCGTCTCTCCGCCTCTATTTAAAAAAGAGATATATACCCTGAATTGATTGAAGAGATGATAAACTAAGTGAGTGGTAGAGTTAGATAATATACTCTGCGAATCAGAGTCGAACATTTGTGATATGAGATTCAGAGGTGTTCTGATAGTATCAGTAGAGATGATAACACTCGGAATGACCTTAACACCAAAATCCTGCCACAACATCACCAACACGCTCTTTAAAGAAGCCCTCGAAAAACTGCACATCATGGAGCGAACACCCAGGCGGGTTGAATCTTACCGAAACATCAAGCAAAGAAATCAAATGGTTTATACTCACTCGCGAAAAGGTTATTGGATATTGGAAAGCGTATTCAAACTCCAAATATCATGGATACCTTCAAATTCATGGAACATCCGTCTCCTCGTAACAGTCGTATTTCCTCCCTACCACTTTAAACACTACAACCAATTCGCGATCTTCTGCGAAAGCGTAGTATACTTACGGCCTTGATTGGACCACGAATTTCGCGCGAAATTGAAAGTGCGACTTTGGATAACATGTAAACTAATAGTAACGGGGTAGATATTGGCAGTATATAGTTCCTAAAATACCTAGAATCAATAAAAAAATTATATCAGCAAACCTAAAGTGGTTTTAAGATAGTTCTCTTGCTCTGAATCCTAACTATAAGTCTCTTGAATTCGTAAGCAGTAAGAGGACAGTGTATTATATCTTAGTTGATATCGGTTCTTTTTGATAAGCCTAAAATTCAGTTGGTAGCGAGGACTCTTCAGGATTCTAATCGTTGATCATGACATTGAAACCGGTTTTAACAGTCAGCCGCTGGACTTTTACTGTCTGAGCTCAGCTTTTTCCACCGGAAAATAATCCGACATGTTTAGGTTAAGTGTTCACATGAAAGCTGTTAATCTACTGGCATTCTTTTGGCTTCTGTCTATAAATGTCATACAACTAATCAGTGTTTCCTGAATAGTTGGCAAAACGCTCCAAGTCGTCAGTGCCAGATAATTTTCTAGTTAACTGCTTAACAATAGGTCTCACATGATATTTGTCCTCGTTTGTGAAATGGTTCGTATAATCGTTTAATTTCATACCCTCAACAAATTAGAAGTTAATAAGATGGTTTCTGATTTATGTACAGCTGATGTCTTGATTCCATTTTCAGCTAAGCAGGTGTATGAATAGTTTATCATGCGTTTGTTCTTTCTGTCAATACATGGGACGCAGAAAGTTTCTTGAATACACTAGGTATTCCTCCGTGTACTTTGTACCTATCGAAGGCAATGCGGTCTTAGAAATTACAGATATGTACACATGTCATATTCAATGCATCACCTTGTCCCTAACATTTTCGTTCGTTCTCTAATGATCGGAAATTTATATAACGAATGACAGTTTGCCAGAAATTTAGTTCGATCCAGTAGTTCTTACTTTATCATGTATATCCTGTTGACGATCGCGGCTTTTTGAACGCACTGATGTGCGAAGCTAATTCGCCACATTCTAGATAATACTCAAAATCGAACTATTTATTTTGAAAGTGTTAACAAATATCAGATAGCACTTACAGCGACTGCAAAACTATTAACAACAGCTAAGTTGTTGATTTTTAAAGTCGCACTAGACGACTTATATAACAGAAATTTCAACTCTCACTGTTTCTGTCTAAAACGTTTACTCCTTGGTCGTGTAAGTACATCAAGTTCTCGTCGCATATATCCCATTAGGTTGCAGTGGTCCCAGTTGAGGTTGATTATCAACACCACTACAAACCAATTGCTTTCTAGTCTTAACGAGTTGTCCTGTCGTGAACCAAAAACACGGGATAAGAGATAGTCCAGATGAAGGAGTATATTTGCTGGCGTTTTGGTGGTATCGAAAGAATACCGAAATCGTGCCAGTGAATATGGATGAAGTTACAGAGTGGCAAAACTAAATAGTGCTCGTGCAATAGGCAAATTGTTTTACAGAAACTGTGAATAAAAAATTTCACTGAAACAATCACAGGTACAATGGGTTGTAGTAATGAATGTTTCTGTTCAACCAATCTCATATTCTTCATAAAAGTGGAGTCACTACAATAATTCGATATAAACATCTAATTGTTGTTTGATAGTAACTTGAAATGCTGTAAACGGTGCTTAAGAATTATTCTCAAATAAGCATAAAGTAATCTTCACCTGAGGATAGGTTTCTTTTGAAATTTAGACAACCAATACTCTTTTTGGTGAATGGTTATTTTTAGAACGCCTATTTATTCAATCTCTTTTCTATTTCTATACACTACATAGATCAAATATGGTCCGATATTGGAAGCATCGTGGCGAAAAAATATTCAGAAACCTCGAACCTCATATCCAGAAATATTTTCCTTATCATAAACCAGAGCTTGAAGGAACTTCTCCTCAACGTGCTATTCTAACGGGGAAGAAAGTCAAAGTACCTTTCGACTACGCAATTGGACAAGTAGTACCGTTTCAACAAAGTCTAACATCATCATTCCCAGATATTGTAAAGGTCCGTCTGCACAAGCTCTGCTTAAATCGTTTCCTGATGAAGGTAATTTTCCATTGTCTTGTTACCTACTTATAAATGTGCGCATAGTATTTTTATCAAACAGCAACGTATTGGGTTCATACACAAGGTTTAGTGGTGAATATTGGAGATATCGTGCTTATTGAGAAGACTGACCCACCGGTGGCATTCAATACCATGTACAAACTGAAAAAAGTCGAATTTCCTGTCGGTAATCTTGTTGATCCAGTCACAGGACTACGATCTGAAGGTCCAGAATATTCAATTGAAACACTGAAGTCCATTTTAAGTAAAGAAGACAACACTTTTAATAGTGCTTAAGACTAGCCACATTTTCGCTTGATTTTGTTGTAAATAACCGCGTTTTTCAATATACGATAGTTTCAATATACTTTTTCATGTACGTATTTAGGTGTAGCTACCTAGTGACTCCTGCAGGTTTGCAATGCTTCTTATATTGCAGTAGTATATTATTACAAAAACGGTGGTAATAGACTGACGACAATCTAGTAGAGGATGCAATTAGTTCTGACTTATCGTGTGAGTAAAAATGAAATGGAAATCTTGAATATGGTGTAGTCTCTGTATGAGCCTATCATAAACATATTATTAACAATCACCTAACTAAGAAAGATTTAGCACTTAGTCACTCTCCTGACATTCTAGGATGAAACGATAATCGTCACTATTATCCATGCAACAACTAACAGAGGTTAGTCCACTTTGTATTGGGTTCAAACTACTGACGACCATCATACTTTGTAGATTGTTCAAAACCTGTGGCTCATCGTCTTCGATTTCCTGGATTGGTCCTCACTCCGGAGGTCTCTTGTAGGATGTGTCTGAGGAGCTTATTAACAGCTTGAAGGCTATGTACACATACACTTTAGACGGTGAGGGCATGCATCTACCCTTCTCTACTATTCCATTCAACCATTGGTGTCAGGCAGGGTTGTGATCGATAAGACTCTGGGAACTGCTCGAATGGAGGTAGTTAATGGTTGTGTAGACACGTCACCTGGAGGAATGTCAGTCAGTCAGTTGCAACGTAGTACATCCTACGCACGTACATCAGTTCAAGTTGCCATATCGCCTTGGCACAGAGACGTAACTGTCAAATGAATTCCCACAGAGGTAGTAGAATTATGAGCAGTAATCGCAAAGATCACGAGCCGAAGATACTATTTAAGAAGTATAATCCAATGAAATAGATATGAGGCGAAAAAGATTATGGTCGTGAGTAGTTTAGATTAGTATTTGATAGAACACAAAGAGTGGATGTATCTGCGCCATTGCAAACGATTTTGAACCATGTCATTCAAGGTCTCTAATCATCGGTTACTATCATCTCATGGACCTCAATCAGGTAGTCTACGCCTACCAACACGGCTCAACCCACTTGTCAGTGAATTAATGGATTTGTGCCATGTTTTGATCTGGCCGCCCCTATCTTTATTCCAACCTATTCCTACACCACGATACATTGCTGGTCGAGGCAGTCGGTGGTGGAGCTAACGCAACACATGTCCCAACCGTCCCACGTGATGAAGATTCATCAACTGATTTCCATCCTTATCTAGAACTCCTTTCCTAACAACTGCATTGCTTACTCCATTGTCCCAGAATATACGAGCGATGCTTCGGAGACACGATGTTGGAATACTAATGGCCTACGAATATCCTCTACTCTCACTGGCCATGTTTCACAGTTATAAAGTAGGACGGAGCGAACTGCTGCTCAGTAGACTCTTCATTTGGTTAGCAGACGAATATCGCGCCTACGCCATAGGTGACACAAGTCGGCAAAAGCCAGCCGAGCCTTCATGCGTGCTGAGATTTCGTCAGGTATCAGGCTATCAGTACTGATGAGACCCCCAAGATAAGTGAACCAGTGGACACGCAAAACTGCTTCACTCCCTATCACTAGTTCAGGTGCCGATGCAAGCCAATTCTGAAGCAACATTTTATTATTTTCGAGGCTAACTATTTAGACACTATATTAGTTAGACTGATTGCTCTTTGGTCGTCATGAAAGGACTTATGTCCCTTTTGATAAATTGGTACAATCAGGGATTGAGACCAGTCAGATGGTATTACGCCCAGTTCCTAGATTCCACCTATCATCTCAGGCAATCTGACCGTTGAAACTGAACCACTATCCTTAAAAATCTCAGGAGTTAGCCTATCAGGGCTCGCCGCCCTCCCTCGGCTGAGATTTCGTAAAGTCTTTTCAACTTCATAAAGACTCGGACAGCTTACACGGTTTGCCATTCAGGTTGAACGGAGATCGTGGGTAACCGCAGTGTGGCTGGAGGCCAATCGAACTGGTGCCAGAAGTGTTCTGCCCATCGATCCAATCTCCTGGATTGAGAAATAAGAATAAGTCCACCCTATTCTGAGATAGTCTCACACTCGGATTCAGCATACCATCCTCCTTGATAATTCTGAAGAGTTGTCTACTGTTTCCTTTTCCATCTCCCTTGCTTTTGCTACCTACCACTGTTCCCGATCATTTCGTAAGCTGTTTATTAGTCTGTGCCTAAAATGACTCCGCTCCATATCGTATACTAAGAGCAAAGCGGGATGAGTTTTTGATCGTCTACCAGTTCGGCAGATGCTACTAAAATCCACTGTTTCTCCCCAATCCTTATGGTTTACCTTACTAGCAGATGTCACTGCCGTCTCTGTGGCTTTTCTGATATCGTTCCAAGCTGCCTTAGGATGGGGCTCTTTTACACGGTTGCCTAACCGTAGAACCCTGAGAGGTTTCTTTGCCACGTCTTTCCTACGTTCAGTAAGACGCAAAAAATATGCGCTTGCACTAGAGCATGGTCTGATTCTAAACACATCCTCCAGTCTTTAATAGATTCTCTCCGATGGCTGATTGCAGTGTGGTCTAGTTGGGTCGGCTTTGCGAGTTGCTAGGTCAAGAGATGTTTTTCCTGATGCTTAAAGTTTGTACTTACTAGAAATAGGTGGTTGTCTGGGCACAGTTGCAGCAGACGGTTGCCATTATTTGTTCTGAGTCGCATCTCCAACAGGTTCAGCCAAGTCTTTCGGTTTCGCTTAGTCTACCTACATGAGCATTGAAGTCACCAGCCATCATGACTACATCAGTGCGCCCAAATTTTTGAAAGTTGAAATGTTTTCGGTAAAACTGATCTCTTACCTCATACGAGCTACAGTCAGTTGGGGCGTACAAAGAGACAGCAGCGAGTGTCCCTATCTTTCTGAGTCCTTACTCCCGTTTGGTCGGACAGCGTTTAAGCGACTACCTACTGGGATCCAGTCTAAGCGAGCTAGTTCTGCCTCAGAACTCAACGCTATACCCACACTTGTGAAGCCACGGGAAGCAGTAGTAGGGCTTCCAGATACACGGAAGGCAAATTAGTTTAACTAATATAGTGTCTAAAATATCAGCCTTAATAATACTCCGACCCCTAACTACAGCACGTGAACAGCAGGCTCGCGAAAACCAGATTGGTTTTTGACCTGAACGTGGCTGTATAGACCATATATTCACACTGTTCTAGGACCTGTCGTAAACACACATTTCGGCGTCCGACAATAGTTGTCTTTCTGCACCTTAAAGTAGCATTCGACTCTGTCGGTCGTGTCTGTTATTGTAAGGTGCAACGAAGAAGTACAATTACCTTGTACAGGCTCTCTACTTGAACACTACTGGTTGAGTCAGAGTTTATGGAATTGGAATTCATTACCTCGAATGGTGTTCGTCAGGGCTGTCCACTTTCCCATTCCTATTCAATTTTGTCATTAACATGCTTGTAGGGATAACACTTTCATCGTTGGAATTTCCAGGAGTTGAAATTTCACCGAGATTCACTTATTGACTCAAAATATGCAGATAGTATAGTTCTGTTTGGTGAAGACGCTTAGGAAATGCAGTCCTCTGACCATCTTAAACAACAACATAAAATGTTTGGGATGCGACTCCTCGAAATGTAAACTGCTGCTTGAAGATTGGCTTGCATCGGCACCTAAAGTAGTGCTGGGTAGTGAAGCAGTCGAACGTGTTGAATCACCAGTGCTGACTGCCTGGTGACGAAATTTCGGCACGCGTACAGAAGGCTTGACTGGCCAACTTGTTTCACTTAATGAGTCAGCGAGATATGCGTCTGTTAACTATAGGACTTAACTGCGTTCCACTATACGCGTGCGGAACAAGGTCATCAAAAACAGAGTACCAATATCTTCTACTAGTTTATGAGCATTTGCTCATGGGTGTTTACGATGTATTGCTCATGTTTCCTGAGATCACTAAGTAAGCAATGCTGGCGTAAGGAAAATGTACTAAGGTTGGCAAATCAATAGCTGGAGTAGTGGATGTTCATTAGTTGAAGCCGTTGGTTAATGGGTTATGTACGCCTAACCACCGACTAACTTGACAAGCAATGTTGTCTGATGTAAGAGTAGGCTGGAAGCTAGTGGCGGTTAGAACAAAACAGCACGAATTCACTAACAACTGGACTGAGCCATGTTAGTATTGAGTAGATCAGCAGATGGGTTCGGGAGGCAATCGTAACCCGTGGTTGGAGACTGAATGACATGGCTCAAAATTACTTGCACTGGCGCAGAAACATCCATTCTTTGTATTCTTCCAATCTCTAGTCTTCTAAATTCTTCATAACCTTTTTCCGAACTCACATCGCTGGGATATACTTTTCAAATCATATTTTCCATCTCTAACCTTTCCTATTGCCAGTAATGCTTCGACAACCTATACCACTGAGGGATTTGACGAAATCTCAGCCTGCATACAAAAGGTTCGATTGGCTTTTGCCAACTTGAGTTACATATGGTGTGGGTGAGATATCCGTCTGCTAACCACTGCGCAGCAGTTCGCTGTCCTACTTTATGGCTGTGAAACATGACCAGTCAGAGTAGATATTCGCAGGTTACTGGTTTTCGATCATAGGTGCTTCAGAAGCATCGCCCGTTTATCTTAGGACTGTCGAGTAAACAATGCTGTTGTTAGGAAACAGGTACTAGGTAAGGATAGCAGATCATTAGATGAAGTAGTGAAACCTTATCAGTTGATGAGGTTGTCTCCTCTCAAATCCTAATCCTCTGAATTCCGCATTACCATTATCTTTCTCTTTTCAAGTCTATTTCAGTAGATTATACTTCTCGAATAATATCTTCCAAACCTAGTCTCTACGATTATTGCTAACAATGCCTCTACTATTATGGGGTTTGAGTTGACAATTGCGTTTTTGTGCGAACGTGGTATGATAACTTGATTTGATGTACGTACGTAAGTAGATCTAAGTTCAACTAGCTGACTGGTTATTAGCAAAGAACCATCAACGCTGCACATGTAAACTTCTGATTAGCAAATATAATTTGATAAATCTTCAAATGAAATATTCACCTAACTTTCGATAGTTAATACAAATTCAAATAAGCAGACAGACAGATACAACGTAGAACTTCGTACATACGTACATCAGTTCATGTTGCCATACCACATAAGCAGAGAGATGTAATTGTCAACTCAAACCCAATAGTACTAGAGGTAATAAAGGTATTAGAAGTAATCAGAGAGGTTAAGATTAGAGGATATTCGATTATCACCATCTTGCGGACCCCAACCAGGTGGTCGACAACTACCGACATGACCCAGTCCACTTGTCAATGACTTCATGGATTATTGCCATGTTTTGGCCTAGCAGCCTCTAAATTTCTTCCAACCTACTTCTACACTACAAAACAAAGCTCATCGACGCAGCACATGAACCATCCACCTCAACTGATGAAGTTTCAATATTCCATCTATTGATTTGCTATTCTTACCTAGCACCCGTTTCCTAATAACAGCGTTGCTCACTCGGCTGTCCCAGGATATACGAGCAATGCTTCGAAGACACCTATGATCGGAAACCAATTTAAATGAGCAATTATCTTGAGTTCAACAATGCAGACAGAATTGCAACATACTGAGGTTTATATACACCAGGTCACTGAGTATGGGAATCTAGCACCCACTGTTAACTAAAACAGCACCAGGCTGATTTCTTAAAATAAACATGGTGTTATAGGCTGGAATCGATCAAGCCCGGTAATTTGTATACAAAGTCACAGCTTTCTAACCAGTGGACTACTATTACGCTCTATGTAATTCCTATGCTTCAAGACTATTCACCCAAACAGAGAGTAGGGAAGATTGAAAGCACCTACAACCTCTCAAGACAACACAAAACACGCACACAATCACAAGTCTTCCGACTTTCTATAACCGAACAACCATTTGTCTTATTCTGGTACGACAACAGCTTCCAAAAGAACCTGACAACTTATAAGTTAGTCTGTTTAACAATCATCAATGGACCTCAATTCCCATTACTTCATGATATTCAAATCGCTCATACAAGTCACCGGAACCGTCAGCAAAAGACTAGGAAAGTGAAAGTCAAAATCTTCTTTATTTGAAAAAACTATGTACAAATATTTATTAGATTCACAGTGCTCGAGGCTTGGAGGGTCAATATTGCGACACGGAGCGAATGACACACCAAACACAAGTGGAAAGACAATGGTACCAATAGCAAAACTGAATTCCCATTCTTTAAGAAAAAGAAATGGATGAAATTACGTTAATCACATGTACATGGTTGGTGATTAGGATTTCGGACAAAGGGACTTTACACATTCATGATTAGCATAATCATGATTACTAGACACAATATCCTGATCAACATTGTCTGAAGGTGCACTAGACATAAGATCGGAACAACCAACACTTGACACTGTCAAATCTGTTACACTGATAAATTCACTATCTTCATCCCACTGAGAGATGGTTGAGCGCGATTGCTCTAAGACAGACCAACAACTATGGGATTTCTGTGAACAACGCATAGCCTCCCAAGTACTTAAGGCCTTACACAATAGGTGACGGTTAAGTAACTTGCCTGGGCTTTGCTGTTCAAACTTCTTAAGCTTCCCCCTCCCGACGTGGACCAAACGTTTGAGCAATCGGTAGTTCTAAAACAGAGTAGTGGTTAAAATGGGAAGAGTACGAAACATACCGACATAGGCGGATGAAGTGCCAACACACTCGTAGATGCGAGAAAATTTGAACAACAATCCCGCCGTATCACTTCCAATATCCAATATCTTTTTCACGAGCTAGTGTAAACCAATTTGATTTCTTCGCGCTCGATTCTTGTTCTTTCGGTACGGTTCCAGGTGTTCGGTAATGTCCAATGGATGGAGGTCTAGCCACTTGACTGTCTAATTCTAGTCAGTTGGCAGTTGATTGTGAGTTTGCATGTCTCGGGATTTGAATGAAACGTTTGTTTCAGGGCAGTAGGGTTTCTGGATACTAGCAGCCGTCACATTACCAAACCGGAGATCAGTTAGTTGCAATGTGGAGAGTAATAAGAGTAATAAGGGTAAATTAAAATGATAATATGAGTAAAATTTCAGAACTGAGTAATATATAGATGAATTTAGTTTATTAATTGGTAGTGAAGATTGTGAGAGAGGACCGAAGTGTAAGCAAGGGAGAGGAATAGGCGAGTTAAATTAATTAAGTGATCTGAGGAGATGGCAATGGTAACAACTAGCAGGTCTCAAGATATGCATCAGGCACAGCTTGTCCAAGAGGGAGATGATAGTCCGCATGTGAGTACGTGATTATCAAGTCTCTTCTTAAAGCAGTCCACTGAGGGGGCTGTAACTACCTCGGCTGGGAGAGCATTCCAAGTTGCGACGACTCGCAATGAGAAAAAGTGTGCACGAATCTGAGTGTTTGCTCTTTGATGTGCAATCTTTTGAGGATTGCCTCGAAGGGAGTGGTGGTGATGCATCGGTAAGATGCTCACATTGGGATGGTTTGGCGTGTTTAATATGGTGTACGCCATAATCAGGTCACCTCTGATTCTCCTGTAGCTCAGTGGGAATAATCCCAAGAGCTGGAGTCTATCGTCGTACGGTTTATTTTTCAACCCTATCACCCATTTCGTTGCTCGTCTCTGCACTCGATCCAAGAGATTAATGTCTCTTTTAAGCAGAGGGGGTGCGATGACGTTGTGAACCTCCAAGTGTGGGCGCGCGTACGTCTTAAAGAGGGTTAAAAATAATTTCGGGGTTATAGCACCAAGCTGTCTTCGCATAAAGTGAAGAGTCGCATTTGCCTTGGCTGCATCCCCTACATAGTTCGGACTCGTGTGGAGGCTTTCTGTGGTTATTAAACCAAGATCGCGCTCTGAGGAGACATTAGGGAGCGGACTTCCATTGAGAGTGTAGGTGGTTTGCGTCATATGAGGCAGGAAATGCATGACGTGGCACTTCGGTTGGTTGAGTTTCAAACCGTTTTTCACTGCCCATTTCTCAATGGATGTAAGGTCCTTTTGAAGCTCAGTCGAATCCTCTTCGCTTCTAATGGACCTCCAGATCTTCGCATCGTCTGCGTAGATCAGTGCCAGTGAGCTAACTAAGCTTAGCAGGTCGTTAATGAATATCAGGAAGAGGAGTGAACAGAGGGCTTCAGCGCACTGTTGCAAGACTATAGGGCGGATGTTGTCACAACCTGGTGACTTACCTGGGCGTAAGGATTTTAGTTTCCTTAATACTAGGTCAGGAGTGATACGGATGTTCCCTAAGCCGTCAGCTGGCATTGGGTTGGCGTAATACTCTGAACATGTAGGCGCCTGGTTTAATTGATCAGAAAAATGGGTGTTGAAGATTTCGGCCATCTCTAGGTTGGTGAGGTCTTCTCCATTGGGCCCTTTTAGGGGGCACAACCCTTGGTTAGTAGGTTTTCTTTTGGACATGAACCTAAACAGATGTTTCGGGTTTGCCTCTATTCTGGCGGCTAGTATCGTCTGGAATTGTCTCCTGTCGCTTCGAACTTTGGTATTGCATCTGTTTCTCAATGCCAAGTAAGAACTGCGATCGGAATCGTTCAAGGAGACCTTCCACTTGTGCCAGGCTTTCCTCTTCGCCTGTAGCAAGCGTTCCGTGCCGCGCCTAACCCAGGTTCTTCTGTTCTGGCGTTTTGGGTGTGATTGAGGTACGTTGTCTACGACAGCGTTTTGGATGATATCTCTCACTGCTTGCCAGTGATCATCTACTGTCAGCCTCCGCCACTCCCGTGGCCATGGGGCATGTAGGAGCACCTCTCTCATGCGTGTGTAGTTTGCCCTACTGTAGCAGAGGTAAGGCTCGTTATTGTCCGGTGTCAGCATTTCGTTTGTGACCATGTTAAACAGGACTGTGCCATGGTCACTACTACCTATTGGAGCGCGGATGTTAACATCCTCAACCAGGAGCTGGTCGTTCGTTAACAGATAATCTAGGTTTGAGGACTTCCCTTTCTTAGTCCACCCTGTGGCGCTGCGTACATGCTCAGTCATGCCAGAGCTTCTAATGGCTGTACCAAGTTGTCTTTGGAACCAACCAGTGGGAGTGATACTCTGGTTGCTGAGATTTAAAGATGGGGTATTGAAGTCTCCGGCTAAGAGTATTTGATCAAACCCTAGGAGTGGCAGTTGCAGAATTACGTCAACCAGTTTGCTTTTCTGGGCCCTAGTACCCGAAGGAGGTCGGTAGATCCCTCCAATCAAGTATTTCGTGCCATTTGAGTGGAACCAACACCAACATGATTCTGTCACCTCAGTTAGTTGGGTGTTGTATAGCCGCTCTGCTTTTAAGTGGCTATTTACATATATAGCCACTCCACCTCCAGTTTGGTGTTCCCTATCGCTTCGGAAGAGTGTCATGCCTGGCAAGCCCACTTCTGCGTCGGCAATGTCGGGGGATAGCCATGTTTCTGTTAGGATTATGATCTTCAGATCCATCTGAGAGCGCATATTCCTGACTTCTAACAGCTTACCCCTTAGTCCTCTTACGTTGCTATAGAGGCACTTGGTGGTTTGTCTCTGAACCTGGTGCACATTTGCAGCATCAGCCTTAGTCGGGTTTTCAGACAAGTTATTTAAACCGAGTCGGCCAGTTCTGTGGGAACTGGCCTCTGCAGGTTTTTTGCCTGCGCGGTTGGTTCACTCACATCTTGAGCCAGAGGTAGTTGACCGAGTTTAACTATCAGCTGTGTGCGTTCATTTTGGCCTCCCTGTTGTTGTCTCACAGATCTAGGTCGGCTCTCGCAACATCTGATATGGCTAGGTAGATCGTTCTTCGAACTGTACCAAGCTTGTAGTGTTTCAGTCAGGTCTTCCCGGTTCCTGAGTGTTACAGCTATCAGGCGTGGTGACTTGATAGACGTAAGGTGTGACGGGCGGGGCAACCTGGAGATGCAGACTGCCATCGGGGTGTGGAGGGATAGGCTACGCGATAGCCATCGCCACTGTTGCACATCGTGCTCGTGGGCTTCGTCCGGGTTACCGTTGGTGAGTTCGGGTATGCCGTGAACTACCATGGTGGTCTGTTCCTGGGTGTCTGGTGCAGTTCTGGCTGCTGCACGTACCGACCACGGCTTGTCATGCCTGATACGAATCAGCGAGGACAATTTGACCGATGGTCTTTGGGACGAAAGGATGATGTCTTCAGCTAGTCGTGCTGAGTCAAGAGTTACCCTCATTGGAGGGGGTTTTCCTTTCGAGACGTTCTGACCTTTGAAAAGGCGACAGATTTTAGCTGGGACCTCGCACATTCCGAGGGTGGAGCAGAATTTATCCCATTGCTCTTTGTCGAAGTTTGATTTTTCAACTCTATCGCTCAAATATGTGCTCGTCTGTGCACTCGATCTAAAATATTTATGACTCATTTAAGGAGATGGGGTGCGACTGTAGTGACCGATTTCGACGTTTTCTTAAGCTTCATGATGAGCACGTCCAGACAATAGTTACTAAATTGCGTCTGACGGTTTATAAATCAGAAGGTGAACTTGAAGTGTTGAATACGTTCATTTCGGCACACCACAAAATGGAATAGCAAACCACAAACAGACATGGCAGGCACTTTATCGGGCGAATGTGCTAACGGGAGAGTGAATTAATAAGGTTAAGATGTTCATATATGTACATAGTAAAATGTCTGAGTCATCGTGATATTTAAGATTAATATTAAAACGAAAACAATGAGTAAGCACACTGATGTAAGTAATGCTCAGTCGTACAACTCATACAAACCAGACAATAAAAAATCAATGGTAGATATGAGTTGTTGTTATATAAATGGCTTGGTTGAATAAATAAATCGAAAGGCTTGACCAAATTAAGGGTAAGCGAGCTCAAGTATATGTGGAGGCACTACACGATGACGATGTGAACCTCAAGTTGTGGTTGTGCATATGTCTTAAAAAACGTTAAGATTAACTGTGTGGTGATGGTACCAAGATGTTTTCAGATAAAGTGAAAAGTTTCATTAGCCCTGGCTGCGTCTTCTGTACAGCTCAATCTTGTGTCTAGGCTTTCAGTGGTGATTTGTCTGTGAGGAGACATTGGGGAGCGAACTTCCATTGAGTCTGTAAGTTGTTTGTTTAGGTTGCGATAGAATATACATATCGTGGCATTTCGAGCACCTAGTTTTACCTCGTTTTTAACTGCCGACTGTTCAATATATGCAAGGTAATTCTGAAGTCAGTCGGAACCTCTTTGATTCTTATGGTCCTGCAGATCAATGCCACTGAGATAACTTCTTCTTATAGATTATTAGTGAATATCAAGAAGAGGAGTGAACCTAAGATGGACTCCTGTGAAACGCCCGATTTTGAGACTCGCTAACGCGCGTGCACTCTAATTACCTTGTGCGAAACTTTCTATTCTCAAGGTGGTTTCTGAGCCGAGATATCATCGGGTAAGTGTAGTCCATTTCCGCAACTGGGAGTGCATGGAGTACTGTGTCTAAGGCTTTTGCAACGTCAGGAAATATTGTACGCATCGATATTACTTGTTCCCGACTAGATATCCAACTCTCCCACGCTATGAGAAGATCGGATGCGCACGACATGCGTTTCCGAAACTCGTGCTGAGCTTCTACGTGGGTAAGATCGTCACTGTTTGGACCTTCGAGGGCACAAGCGCTCTGGTTTATAGGTTTTATTTTGTCATGAACTTAATTATATGCTTATGACTCGCCTGTTATTTTGGCAGCTAGCTTCGTTTGAAATGGTCGCTGCATTGGTAAACAGGTATTGGTAATGAAAACAGGAAGCATAAATAAGCTGCAGTGTCTCTGTTTGATACAGTTTCAGGAGTTTCATTATTAAACAAAGAACAGTGTAAGAGCCATGTGCAGCACTAGCTGCCTACACCGTAGTGGGTCATAATTTAGACTTTCGGAGTTTCTAAACATTCAGTAAGAGCTGGCGACAGTTGAAGGTTTATTGTTCGTGGTAATTACAGGCCGTCAGCGAACAATATTAAGTGAGCGACAAGTGACAAAGTAGGAAGAAACGTTATAAGGGAATTCAGAATATCCGCCATACTTGAGTGCAACAAATTGACCGCTATAGGAGTAGCGTTAAAAGATCATGTGAGGAAATCA